GGGTCCGCATATCGCTCCCGGCTCGCACATGGCGACATGGACGGGATCGGGAGGCGGCCCGCACATCCTGCACCATGTTAAAATGAACATATAGCTCTGGGAATTCCTCCCACATGAAAAAGTGGACAACTGGAGCTCTGAAGCCTCTACAGACCTTTCCCTCTGCAACACTGCTGCTACCCACCTAGCATATACAGATCTTTATTCCTTCTCTGCTTTACTTGTCCTTCAAACTTTCCCAGTGCAAAGAGAGGGGCATGGATTTGAGAAGACTGTGTGCACTGAGCTTATGTTCAAACTGTAGCAAAGCTATTTACATTTCTATGGTAATGACCTTGCTGTATCCCCACTACACAAAGGATTTCCTCAGGTGCTGAGGAAAGGATGCTACACCTCTGGAAAGCCAGAAGCAGAAATCACTCACACACACGCATCATGAAGGAGCTTATGAGATCTCTCTTCATAGTTCACCCTTAAAAAGGCTGTACTGTGGATCCCATAGGTGCCTTCGAGCTTCAGAAGTGCTGCCTGCCAGGGCCTAATGGGAAAAATTAAGTCCACTGCTTTGAACTGTGGCAGCCAATACCCATCTTCCAGGCACAGAAAAGCTCCCAGAACAACTGTGCAAATAGTCTCCTCTGAAGTACCATAAGAGCCAGTGCAGGATCCTGGTTCTTACTCTGGCTCCTGGTCTCAAAAGACAACTTCATCAAAGGAGGAGGCAGTAAGTGAGCAAGAAGCAAGGGCAGACAATAAGTAAACTGCTGGGTAATGATGGGGAAGCAGACAGAAATGGGATATCTGCCCATAGAAGGATAAAGGGGAGGTCTAATGTGAAGTATGACCATAGTGAGGAACAAACTGCTCAGCTGATTTCTATTTGTGCCAGGCCTCTAGCCAGCTTGTCTCCTGCTACTTCTGTTTACGGAAGCCCCTGGGCCTTCCTGGTTTAATTCTCCCACTTTATTCCATGTGTAGGAGAAAAGTGTGTAGTCTTCCTGGGTGTCCACCCCATAGGTCTTCCCTCTCCCAAACTCAGGAATTTGGGGCTGGGGTAAGTGCCGTTTGGCTACTTCTCTGTCCCGCTGAAAACATTTTCTAAGGGAAACGGCCTGAAATGTCCAGGTGGTGGCAACATCATAGTTCCTTACAATTAGCATCTTCTACATCCCTATAAAGATACCCTCACAAGAAGTACAGCTCTAGTCCTATCTTTATTATGTCAGTCATCTGCTTGCTTAAACCCCAAGGATAGAGTTGAGAGTGATGGGAAAAGCAGGTGTTCCCATTCC